GCCACCTTACTCATCTAGTTTCCTACTTTAGAAATCTAAACATCATCCTTGGTGTTTCTTCTTTTATCCTTGTATCTAGTCAATCAGCAAGATATTCATTCTTTCCCTTTAATAGTTCCCATGTATATTTATCTCCCTGTTCTCATTCTATTAGTTTAGACCAGAGGTTGGCAAACTTTTTCTATAAAGGACCGAATGGTAAATACGTTTGGCTTTGCAGGCCATATGGTCTTTGTCACAATCACTGTAGCTCCAAAGCAGCCGGACACAATATGTAAATGAATGGGTGTAGCTGTTTCCCATAAAACTTTATTTATAGACACTGAAATTCACATTGTGTATAATTCACAAAATATTCTTCTTCTTTTGCTTTCTTCCCACCCCTGCCCCAACCATTTTAAAATGTAAAAACCATCCTTTGTTTGTCATCCCTATGAAAACAGAAGCAGGCCAGATATGGCTCACAGGCCATAGTTTGCCCACCCCTGTCTTAGACCACCATTTTCTCACCTGAAATACAACAGTAGTCTTCTACTCTCCTACCTGGTCTCCCTCTAGCCTTGTCCCTCTGGTCCACTTCTCTTACTGAAGCCAGGTTGACTTTTCTAAATTGCAAATTGGATTGCTCTACCTTGCTTGAAGTCCTTTAAAGGTTGACCATAGCCATTGGAATGTACCCACATTTTTTGGCAAGACCCTTCATAATGTGGACCTTGCTTACCTTTCTAGCCATGTTTCCTTGCCACATGTTTCTAGCAGCTTCAGCTGCTTACAACTGCTTGCAGTTTCTGTAGTGTGTAGTATTTTTCACTTCTAAGTTTTGACACATCCCTTGAATATCTTTCCTCCTTACCCTCTGCCTACTTCACCTGGCAAAACACTACTCTTCCTACTGGACACATTTTAGCTATCATCTCCAGAAGCCTTTCCTCACTCCCCTAAGGTGTTTTATCCCCTAAGGATTTAAGTGCTTCTACTAAGTTCTCTTGTCATATCTGCAGAACCTAATAATAGCATTTATTTTACTATATTATAATTAACTATTTATTTGATTGCTTCTCCAAAATAATAAACTCCTTGAGTGCCTAGAATTTGTCCATTATTTTATTCCCAGTTTCACGTATGGTGCCTTATAATACCCTCGGCACTTCCATTTCTATCTTTTTGCATAAAAATTGAGATATGGGAATGCAAGCTGGTGCAGCCACTCTGGAAAACAGTATGGAGGTTCCTCAAAAAATTAAAAATAGAACTACCCTACCACCCAGCAATTGCATTACCAGGTATCTATCTCAGGGATACAGGTGTCCTGTTTCGAAGAGGCACATGCACCTCAATGTTTATAGCAGCACTATCAACAATAGCCAAAATATGGACAGAGCCCAAATGTCCATCGATGGATGAACGGATAAAGAAGATGT